GAATGGCTTAGATTAAAAGCTTTATATTTTAAAGTTGATTTTGAGAAATGCCGCTCGTATTTTAACATCAGGTTAAGTCAGCTTCTCTTAAAGACAAATTAAAACCTCCGAGCACACGTCCGTGGCAAAATGGGAAGTTGCTAGTTGTTTTTACTTTATTAACTAGTAATTCCTAGAAATAGAAGGAACTTTATTCCCTTTGAAACTACTTGCAGATAAAATAATGACCGCAACTTGCCAAATAGCCTTCTCCTAACTGTTATTATATACTAAGTGACATATAAATCCGAACACCCAGTTTAAATGGTTTTATTTAAATAAAAGTTGGTGAATGTATTTATCTTACTGTAAATAACAAGTGAAAAAATTTTCAGCCTTATCAGTTGGACATTCCGGTTTTTATACTGCTTTTTTTTAATTCACTAACGCTCTAAAAATGAATATTTCAGCCGCAGTAAAGAATCAACGTTGGCGGATTTTGGTTGTTGACATCCTTTACGATCCGTTACGATGCCTAGAGTACGGAGACCTATACGATTTCGTCAACTTAGTGAGTTTGATAGAGGCCGTATAGTGGGACTTCGGGAAGCTGGACTTTCTTTTCGGGCAATTGCAGTTGGAGTGCAAAGAAGTGTAGACACTGTGTTTAGGTGTTGTCAGGCATGGCTTCGAGAAGGCCGTACGCAAAGAGCAAGGGGCACTGGACGCCGCCGTAGAACAACAGACCGTGAAGATCGCCGCCTAAGATTATTGGCCTTGAGGGACCGTTTCTCCACTACCAGGTCCATTGCAAATGAATGGTTTGCAGAACACGGAAGATCTATTGGCATACGAAGTGTTTACCGACGAATGAGAAGTTTTGGCTTGTTTTCATACCGGCCACACTGGGTCCTCCCTTTAACTCGAGAACACCGACGTAATCGCCTTGAGTGGTGCAGACAACGGTCACTCTGGGATCAGGAATGGAACAGTATTGTCTTTAGTGACGACTCTCGATTTTGTTTAGGCATGCACGATGGTCGTGCTAGGGTTAGAAGGCGACGTGGTGAAAGGAGGAATCCACAGTTTTTTGTTGAAAGACATATTCATCACACTGTTGGAGTTATGGTTTGGGGTGCTATAGCTTATGGTTCCAGGTCACCTTTAATCTTCATCAGACGTATCATGAACGCGCAGCGTTATATCCACGAAGTTCTAGAACCCCATCTTTTACCCTGTCTTGACACCCTGGCACATCCAACTTTCCAACAAGATAATGCCCGACGACATGTTGCAAGAGTCACAATAGACTTCTTTCAACATAATGATGTCACATTGTTACCATGGCCACCAAGATCTCCCGACTTATCCCCAATTGAGCACGTGTGGGATATGATGGGTAGGAGATTGCTCAACTTGCAACGTCCTCCTCAGACTCCAGAAGCACTTCGAGAGGAGTTGGTGGTTGCCTGGAATGAGATACCACAGGAGGACATTGACCACCTGATCAGAAGCATGCCTAGGCGCGTTGGAGAATGCGTAGCACATTAGGGTGCATCCACACATTATTAAAGGTCAAAGGGCTTTAAAGCAGTGCAATCATTTTGAAATTTTTATCGTTTACTTATTATGTTTCATTAAGTACTTATACATATTATTAAAATAAAACCATTTAAACTGGGTGTTCGGATTTATATGTCACTTAGTATATGACCGCTACAGCCATTTGATCATACTGTGATACTATAACAAGGTATATCTTTTTTTACCCCGAAGCAGCTGCGCAGGCAAAGCTTAAATGCCATGGCACCGCGGCCTCTATGACAAGCTTAAAGAATCTTTGTTAATACATTTTTTAACTGCCTAATGTTAGTAGAACTGGGAAAAGACTCATATAAGACTCATGTAGATTGTTCCATAATATCCATGCCCTAGGGACAAAGAATGAGTAGCTGTATCGACAAGTTTTGTGTGTACGAAGTTTGACACGATAAGGACGGGAGGCAGAAGCCAATCGGGTCTGGTTGGCTTAGCGGTAGAAGAGAGCTAGATCGCCGACGGCCTGCCGGTGCGAAGGGTCCCGAGACTGTCCGTTACATAACACTCATCGGTCAGCCGTACAGCCCTTATTTGAAGAGTAGCGAGCATGGATTATGTAGTCGAGGCGGCAGCACTCCAAATACAGAGAATACTCGAGGCTAGATCTTATCTGGGTCTTGTACAGAGCGAGACTATCATGTGGAGAAAAGTACTAAATGACTAAGGTTTAGTGAAACAAATAAGCAAGCTCTTTCCCAGCAGCTACCGAGATGTTTTTGTGCCCAATCCAGTACTCGGTGATCTGGACCCCGATCAGCCGTAATGAACGGCTCTTTGGTGAATCTCGGTCATCCATCGAAACCGGATGAGCGCTAGGGCACTTCTGATTCGTCAAGGTCAGTCCTGTTATTTGGAAGGACCAAACCATACAAAATTGATGCGTGCCCAAGAAGTGGTATCTCGTCAGTCAGGAAGTCACTGCTAGTCTTCTTTTCTCCAGCTCACTGTCAAAGATCGGCTTGTCGCTCTAAATTCCTGCATGCTGAGTGCAGCAAAGCTGAAGATTGAATTGACCGTACAGGAAAAAGAGTTGTTTATACCTATGTAAGAGGAACAACGTCGGAGCCAAGACCGATCTCTGCGGAACACCCGCGCTCACGTTGTGAGATGAAGAGGAGAACCCGTTAATTACGACGGATACCTTACGGCCTTCATATAGTTCTATTGAGTTAACTGCTGTTCTTGTACCTACTGTTTCAATTCTACCAATAGCCATAACATGTGCTAATGAACGTAAGTATTAGAAGACATGTTAAGGCTATTTTATAGTTTTTGGTGGCAAGATATTTTATGATCCTTTTATGGATGTTTGTAATGTGTCTCTATTTTGTACGGGTAATTTAGCTAATACTTTCAAATTATAATATTTTAATGCATTCTCTTAGGTGAGTGTTCAGTTTTATAGCCTATAATTTGATCATAAAATATCTACTGTCCACTACGAAAGATTGTTTTTTCCTTCCGAAGTTGTCTTTGTTTAGCCATATCCACTGTTCTTTCAGCAGCATTCTTTGCATAACATATGTTCGAATACCGTGTTCAGAACTATTCATACTAAATAAAGACCTAACTTTGTTTCCTCAAACGTACTTTCACTTATTTCGGAACTTTCTAGCTGTTTAACATAATGAATCACGTGAGCGCGCCATTTGAAAGTATGAATCAGTACAAAAAAAAAACAACAAAACATCACAAGCACGTCCATCCCTTTCAATGTGACTCTGTCAGAGTTGTGTGTCTCTGGACGTGGCGGGAGTAATTTGTAGTCTCTAGATAATATAATCAACTGTTATTTATTATCATGCGGTGCAAAGATGAAGTACCATAAAGTGTAAGTACCACCTTGCCCTACCTTGCCACTATGCTTTCTGAAGCTATTTATGGTATGTATCCAGTAATTTAGATACGATTGGAATTCTGTGTTTTGACACGGGTATATTTTAGAACATCTAAATTTCGTGACCTTATTATGTACCTACTTCTGTCTCTATAACTGTAGCATATCTTTTTAAATCGTACTGTATACGTAGCCCACAGCTCTTGGTTTATAATATCTTCTCAATAAATCTTCATCTCTACATACAGTCTCTATCTTCTAACTCTTGGTTTCTTTTTGTCCACAGATATAATGCATCAACATTGAACCATCACCAAATACAGCCAACAGAATGCATTTGTTGGAGTTTTTCTTGTGTATCAGCATCGCGTCGGTCTCATCTGTCAGCGAAAACTTCCTGAAGATGTTCGAGGGTCAACAAACCCCTGCAGATCCGTGTTACGACGATGACAGACCAAGACGTTGCATCCCTGATTTCGTAAATGCCGCTTTTGGTGTTCCTGTTAAAGCATCTTCAACGTGTGGTCAACACGCACCTACACACTTTTGCGAGGCACCAGAGCCTGGAGCTAACCCCCAGTGCCATGTTTGCGATGACAAGTCATCTAAGAGTAGATATCCAGCTTCCCACCTAACGGATTTGAACAATCCTAATAACGTAACTTGTTGGAGGTCTGAGCCAGTACCTCCTGTTACTTCAATTAACGCTCCACCAGACAATGTGACTTTGACCTTGAGTTTGGGGAAGAAATATGAGTTGACTTACGTGAGTCTGCAGTTTTGCCCCAATACCCCCAAGCCTGATTCAATCGCTATCTTTAAAAGTATGGATTATGGGAAGACTTGGCAACCGTTTCAGTTCTATTCGAGTCAATGTAGAAGGGTGTATGGAAGACCAAATCGGGCTACTATAACTAGGACTAATGAGCAAGAAGCTAGATGTACCGATGCTCACCGATATACTGGTGGAGATATGTATGGCTTTGCTCAAACATCGAGGATTGCATTTAGTACCCTAGAAGGGCGTCCAAGTGCTAGTGACTTTGACAATTCGCCCGTTCTTCAAGACTGGGTAACAGCTACTGATATCAAAGTGGTCTTCAATCGCCTTCACATGCCTAGTGAAGACGCCTCAGACAACTTGGACGTATTGGTAGATGAAAGACTGTACAACAAGCATTTAGAAGAGGAAAGCTACACCAAGGAGCCTTCAGTACAGTTGGTCAATGAGATGCAGGTGTTGGATATCGAAGAAACGAGCAACCCAAAGATAGTACCTTCAACTCCTGATCTAAGTACCAACGGCATAATGGGGGTGTACCATCAGACCACCCATCAGTATGCGGTTGCCGATTTCTCAGCGGGGGGCAGGTGTAAGTGTAACGGACATGCGAGTAGGTGCATCACGGGAAAGGATGGACAATTGACATGTGATTGTAAGCATAACACTGCTGGACGGGACTGTGAAAGGTGCAAGTTGTTCCATTTTGACCGACCTTGGGGACGAGCCACTGCAAGAGATGCGAATGAATGCAAAGGTGAGTCTTCTATTGATGTCTCTTGAATGTAAGCTATACCCTTATTCCAATGATGTTTATGAAATTCTTCAATTTATGCGAAATCGCTGGATCGTGAAGGTTATTTGAATAGTTCCTATAAAAATATTGCTACAAAGAAGAAAAATGTTACACACTGAGAAAAAATGTCTTAAAATAAATATTTTTTTTTTATTAGGCCAACTAAAAGATTCATTAACTATGTGACAGCTAGCAAAACAGTTTACTTGAATCTATGAAGCTAGTTTAATTAAATCAAAATGCATATGTACTAATTAAACTAAAAAACCGTTTACTTAGATTGAGTACACCAATTTATTTAACATCAATGAACTATTGAAATGAATTTACCTGGTCTAAGTAAAACAATTCTATTATATTTATTAAACTTGCTTAAGATGAAAGTATTTGCCTAGTATTAATAAATTATTTTACTTAGATTTAAAACTAATAATATTTGGAATATCAAAGAACAATTTGAAAACTTGTTATTGATGTTAGATATTTTCGAATCAAAATAAAAACTTTTACGAATTTATGTGTAGACGCCACTGGAGTGGTAAATATTACATTTTGCAGCAGAGTATAGCCTACTATACTATATATAAAATGAAAGAGAAAACGCAGATTCATTAAGGGATCTTCAGGGAATGAATCCAATATCAAGGGCTCTTCAAAACATGGAGTCTGAGTCCTCCCCCTGGATAATGAATTCTTAACCCTTTTACCTTGTATGTTGTGTAAAAAGGTCTCTTACCTTCCGCATCCGATTCCATTTGTGTCTACGACTTCTCCCCTCCTTAATCCAATCTTATAGAAGGGAAAGCTGCCCAAAGCTGTAACGAGAAAAAAGCTTCATTTCCAATGACAATGTCACTGTTATCACTGAGATGACAACTCTATACCACAACATTCAAAGCTGCATGGACAAACCTTAGCAGCGTTGTTTTAAAGACTCAGGTATTTTTTATACATTTGAAAAATTCCCACCACGAATTTATCATTCGCTTAAACATTTTATATGACAAGGGGTATTGAGTGATAGCTTGTTTGAAAAGTATTTCGAAGTCCTTTATTTTGACGTTTGATTTTTTCGAGAAAATTAGAAAAATTTTTATTTATATTAATATATTCAGATAGAAAACAAAAACACACGAAAATATAACTTTTTATTTCAATAAGTGTTCAATTCCTGACGGACATTTTCAAAAACATGTTGTGGTATATGCTGGCGGCTTTGATGATACGTTGACGAAGTTGATCCAAACATTCCGGTTGGGGAGTAAACACAATAGATTTCAAATGGCACCATAGAAAGAGTCTAATGGCGTCAAATCAGGAGAGCTAGCAGGCCCTCTTCGCCCTATCCATTTATCTTTAATCTCCAGCCATTGCCGAACCGGAAGAACATAGCGAGGAGGAGCACCGTCTTGTTGGAAATATATTTCAGCTTCATCAAGTATAGGGTTTCCATCCTCTTTGATTTAGTTTTCAATGGTTTCAGTGATAAGCGGATTGATGGTATTTTCCAACATATCCAAATAAATGTCTCCATTCAAATTTCCATTAATAAACAATGGCCAATCACTTTGTTTCCTAAAATGCCTACCGATACATAAATTTTTTGGGAGTACTGGGTAAGCCCTTATACAAAAGCATGAGGATTTTCATTGCTCCAATACCTGCAGTTATGCTTATTAACAAATCCATTTAGATAAAATGTGCATTCATCATTGAATCAGATATTACTTACATGAATGGTATTATCAGTCATTTGTTCCCAAAATTCAACTCGCCTATCGAAATCACCTTCGGTTAACTCTTGCAATATTTTCATTTTGAATGGATGAAATTTAACTGAGTGCAGATCCTAATGAAATACCAGTCGCAGCAACAATTTTACGAAATACAGTATTAAGATTTATTCCAAAATGGCCCAAAAACTTCAACTTGAGGGCGTCCATCCAAAACTCTACGTTTTTTATTTGCAACAGATCCAGTTTGATTAAATTCAGTAACAAGGTGCTTATGCGAAGTTATCTTCTCCGGATGTCTGGTGTTACATTGGTTTTGGGCACCATAAATTAGAATAATTTCCACTCTTTCGGGTAGTGTGCAAACATTTTTAAAGTAAAATCTGAAACACTAAATTAATTTTCATTATCCCAAGATTATCACGAAGGTAACTGACAGCAAATTAAATTCTTTCTTACCCTTAGCAACAAATAACTAAACAGGTACAACAATAAATACAGTTCGCCCAGGATATCTCATGTTAATGAAAAGAATGCGTAAAAAATTCGGGTTGTTATTGCAGTTTATGGTTTTAGTTTCCATTTCAAATTATAAACGAATTGTAGATTTGGCAAACAATAACGGGCAACATTTTGCACACTTATTGAAATGAAAAGTGTTATTTTCGTGTGTTTTTGTTTTCTACCTGAACAAATTAAGATAAATACCTAAATGTCTAATTTTCTCGAAAACAAATCGACTGATTTTAAAAATCAAACGTCAAAATAAAGGACTTCGAAAGACCTTTCAAACAGGCTATTATTCGATACCCCTTGTCATTTGAAATGTTAAAGGGAATGCCCCTGGGGCCAAGGGTAAAAGGGGGTGGAGTAGTTTTTAGTTAAAAAGTTGTCCCCCATTACAAATCTTTAGACGGGTCTTGGCGTTTTTTCTTTTAATCGGCAGTTTTCGATAAATCCTTGGTGGGAAATTTTCAAATGAACACCCTATATATTGTATCATCGGCTACATTCAATAAGGGTAACAACGCACGAGCCGCGCACCGCGGCGGGTGGCGGATGAGCGGTACCGCGGGGAAGTGCGGATTGCTTTACGGAAACCGTCGCGGATGGCTGGTCGCTAGCGTAGTCGTCATGAAAGTCCACGCGGTCTCCGAGTTCGCCGCGTCCGATGCCGGCGTCCGCTCATCCGCGCGGTTACCCGGTTGCCAGTGAGTTGTCTGCCAATTATTCCTACACAAACTAACATCCGCGTGACCGCCATCCACCGCGGTTCGCGGCTCGTGCGTTGTTACCCTTAAACATACCGTTTTCGTCCGTTCGACCACAGGCGGCCAAAAGTAGACAGCTGTTTTGTGCTTTTTGGCAACTCGCATTGTGTAGGCTTGGTCTCAAGTAGGTCAGTGAATGAAACCATTGCAACTATCCTCTCTCAGCTATAAGATCTATCAAAGACAAAATACAGTATAGAGTGTCACCTATTCCCAGAATCAACCACTGCGCGACTGTACAGGAGCAATCGGTTGGAACTGTAAAGAGCTCGCGTTTGACAGCCCAGCCGTCACTGTGATCCGCTAGAGTCTTATGACTATGGTACAGTAAATGTGGTCCACTCGGCATTGGTACAACTAATCACACTACTTTCGTTGGTAACGTTCAGTTGCACTTACCTGCCTCAGTATTTTTCGCGGTACTACACCACGTTTTGACGTCTAGCGACTGATCTGATCAGCAAGTGGCATGTTTGTAATAGGTGAATGCCACATCATCAACCTGTACTGTAGTTCATATCATCAGTATTAACAGTTTATAATTCAATTGGTTACCTTCTGGCGAAATATTATATTGATCAATGGTTGTAGTCGAGGTCAGAAGCGTAGTCAAACCAAGGAGTTACTATAGTCTGGTAAGAAACGGAAGAGAGTAGCAAAAAAACTCGCACGCCACTGTTAAAGCAGTATCCGACTCACACAAAGGAACATTTCTAAATCACTTGTGTGTTTTGCTACTGTCCCTTGAATGACACTAGAATCTTTCAAATCCCCTCTTAGGCGTAAAATGGTTGGCTATCTTCAGGTAGAATAAATTAGTTAGAATGTGCAGTGCCACTCGCCGCGACTTTAATCACAAGAGGTGTAGTGAAAGTTTGAAAATCTAGAAAATTATGATCTGGCAATACCGAGAAAGAATAATGACCAAGCGGCTGTTCGAAACCTTTTTCTGTCAACAGTTCCCTTTTTCTTGTAAAGGGCAAATTGAAATAGTAAATCTAATCTACGGGTGCTAATGCAAATCCCACACCCTGGACTTTTTCGAATAAATAATGTGGGTGTAAGAAAGTTTTTTCCGAACGTGGCCAAACTTTTATAACAAGCATAGATGAAATATAGGCACGTAGATATACGGAAAGTTTTAGCGATTTACTCTGTTATAAGATTCAGTTTTTGTTTCACTCTTTTTTTGCCCTGTTGTGTACAATTTACGGAAATATATGTCGAAGCCAATTTTCGGTTATTAGTCTCAATTTAACTTTGGAATAATTTATTTTGAATATCTCCTACAGAGAGCGAGAGAGAGAGAGAGAGAGCGGGGCAACAGAGGTAGCCAAGAAATACTTTCAAAATGCACTGGCGAGGAAGTACGTATTGTAATTGCAAAGAATTTCTAAAATGACCTTTGGATGTCGTACAACATGCCTACATCACGTAGCCTACTTGTCGACGATAACTGGAGGGCGGTTAGGCATAATAATAATACTATATAATAATAAGCAATTCCTTGAAAAGCGGGGGTGAGGATGGGGGGTTGTTAGACACGTGTAATCTGAACGAAACTATAAGTTCATTCAAAGGGGGTGGATCCAGAGGGACATTTTGACGTCGAGGGAGTTTTGGGAACTAATGTCCTTGCGATCCTGTGAGAACAAAAAAACGGGGACACCCAGCTGTTGTTATTACTGTTGGTAGGGCAGGTGAGAATTTCTAGATCACAGCATTATCAAATGGACCTCTCCTGTTTGACTGACTTGATCCCATAAATTTCTTAGTTGTATTTGTTCGTAGCTAATTTTTCCCCAGGATTTAAATTGCGGTGAACTGATGACAGCTTTGCGTAGGATGTGCGGAATCAACCTACATTTTTTTTTTACTTTTCTGGATGCGCTGGTTTTTCCACATGATACAAGTTGGAATACTTTTTTAATAGTAGTTCTTTAGTTTTGCGTTTATATGGGTAGGCACTGTAATTGCTACGCTGTTCTTCAAATTCCACTCACGTGAGGGGGGTCTATTTACTTTATGCGCCTACTGGGGAGGAAGTATTGTAATCGCGAAAAATTTCGATATTAAGATGTTATATTCTTATGTATGTTATATGACATGTAAATCACGAAAAACCATGTCATTGATTTCCGTCGGTCTGTCTGTCTGTCCGCTGCTCCTCTATAACATGGAAAATACCGCTCGGATTCTGATGAAATTTTCACACTATAAACAGAATGGAAAAGCTGTGCGGTTTCTGAAAGTCTGTCTAGTGGTGACGGACCGAGGGGTAACAAAATTTTGTTTCTTGGCGTTTCACAGGCTCCTGATCACTTTCGAAAACGATTTTGTAGGGCTTAAGCATCGGGGCTTAGGGGTTACAAGGGCTGTGAGAGGGTATATCTCCATTTTTTCTAGATGGTATATTTATACTGGATTCAACCTCGTCATTCCACGCACCGATTGAGTATATTTCAGTCATCATAGATGTCTCCGTACATTTAATTTCAAAACTTAGTATCTCCAACAGTCGCGTGTCAATGCAATGAGCTGTGTGCACTGTGCGTGGTAAAGGCCAATATCGCCATTAACCGGCATGAGTATCATGTAAAAAACCTATAAAACGTCAAAAAAACCTATAAGATCTCACCTTGCAAACTAGGTAGTTTTTAGGGCGCAAACAGTCATTCCACGTTTGCTCACTAGGATCGTTGTGAACGTCCATCTAAGGAGGAATCACTCAACTAAACTACATGCATTATTGGTTGCGAATGTCTTGTGAGGCCAAATGTTCCTTGTCTGTAGTTTTTATCTTTGAGAAGAAAGTTGGTTGAATAGCAAGATCGCATCTGGATGATTATGTGTATTGGCCTGCATGTGTATAAAATCAGTGATATTTGCTGTG